GATTCTTACATTCCTTTCACATAATTTTTAGTTCTTAAAATAATCCTGTGAAAGTGCTGCTTTTATCTTTTCTGTGCAAAGATGAACTTTTATGTTGGAAAGTGTTGAAAGTACTCAGATAGTAAAGCTTAGATTTTTGTTTTGTTTGGCAGTACACTTCTGTTTAGAATTCTTTTAATCTATCCATTCCCTGCTTTTATATTCATCTGATAGCTGAAGGTTCTGTGAAGGATATTTCTTTGTGTGTGAACTTATTAAACCAATAATGCTCAAAAGTGTGAGATTTACTTCCCCCTTTCCTTTTTTTACATCCTACGATAGGCTCTTGTTTGAGTTGTTAAATTTCTATTTGCCTTTCTTGAGATTTTTTGTTGGGGGGGAAGTGCGAAGAAAATAAGAAACAATTTATATGGTAGATCTAAAGTTTCATTAAAATTGCTTATGCCCTGTCCCAGGCATTTTAAGTGGGCCATCTGTCTAAACATCTCTCCATTTTTTTCTGATCATTTCCTCGACTTATTCATGAGCCATGGGAGGGCTCCTTTGTAGTCTCCATGTAGCTGGTTCAGTCTACCCCCACTGAATACATCTATGTGCTTGCATAACATATCTTTTCACAGTGCTGGAAATTCTCTGAACTTGGTTCAGATGAATGGCCCACTTTCTGAAGGTCTTTTTTTTTCCCCCTGCAAAGATTTGTATGCAGAAACTGACCTTGGTGGCTACAGAATCCAGCACATTATTCTTGATCATTTTACAGGCCACCTGCTGTGAAAGTTATGATGAAGGATTTCTTAATGATTCTTTGACCATTAACATTGTTTTAAGTCAATATTTCACTTTTATTTAACTGCTGAATAGGTAATTGCACAATTGAAAAACAGCTTTACAGAGTGTCATATAATGTGGTTTTCAAACGCTTATAGTCTTTCATTATGGGAGAATTTATGATAGCTTGGGTTTTCTCTGTGTTTACGTAAAGTGTTATAAAGCAAAAATATCAGAAGTAAAGAGAATTTGTAAGTTTTCCCCCTCTAGCATTAGAACACATTTTGAATTGGAAGTTAAAAAATCTATACTCAACTTCCTGACCCTTGAGGAGCTGGTGGCATTTATCGTAGCTCATTACATCATCAACAGTAATCGGGAGAGGGGAGTTTATTTGCCACAAACCTGCAGAAAATTGTAGTTTTATTGAGTTCCTTCTATCTGATTGGTTAATGACAATCAAAATGGACGGGCTGGGGCAGAGTTATTACTTGACTTGCTTTTGTGAATGTCTGTTTTCTTTCATTATTTTTTTTTTTTGCTAGAATAGATAATAGTTTAACTCGTGTCTGTTTTCCATGAGCACAGTAAGCGTGTGTCGATCTAAAATTTTTAGCAGTTGTCTACTTTCCTCACTGAAAACTTGCAAAGAAAACCGGGGCTGTAATTGCTGCATTGCTACCAAGTATCTCCCTCTCTCTCTCGAGGGTAAAAGGGACATAATACACTGTGCAATGTATGACATAAATTATGGGACCATGACATAATCTGTAGTTGAACAAACAGCACCAGAGATTGAAAATAAATAACTAATGAAGCAGATGAACACCACTGTTTTGCTTCTTGCACCATTTACGTGTTTTTATGACTTCAACACTTAGAGTAATGCCTGGGTGACTTAGAGCCAAGCCACCACCGTATTCTTTATATGTGCCCCTGTTTCTTTAGAAGGCAATTTTGGGGTGGAGAGGTTCAGAACTGCCCATTCCTCTACAGAGAGAGTTCCTAACACCCATCCCCACCTGCCTCCCGCTGTGGCCTTGGTGCTGCCTTTGCTCTCTCCCTCTCCTTGCATGTAACGTTGCTAAACTTCTTTGATGAACTGCACTCAGTGATTTTTTTCGATGGCAATTCATTTGCCAAAACTGGAAGAAGACAGGGTGGGCACGCTGAACCCTACGAAAGACGTACTGTGTGGATTCTGAATTTGAGCTGGGAAGGGGAAGGACCTTAAATTATTTTGTCTTTTATAATGGTAAAAATGACATTTTTTCTTTCAGTATTTTCTGTAAACAGAATAAGTCAGATTTCAGTTCAGTGTGTAGAATTTTAAGTGTTCGAAGTTACATGTTTTTGAAAACAGACAGAAGTTCGGGGAGTTTTCCGTGAGCTGGTAGAAAATATATTCGGCAGTCCAGATGTTTTTTCTTTAGAGGACTTAGAGGAGTTCTCAGCTAAGGAAGCAACCTTGCCCAAGAACAAAGAGATCATTTCCCATGCACTCCAACTTCTCAGACATTAAAAAAACAAAACACCACAAAACAAAACAGCAACAAAACCCACCAAGAAGCCTGTTTCTTAGCCCAATAGAAACATCTGCATTTCTAAAGTAGTTAACTTCCATATGAGCAACTTCCATATCCAAAAAGCTTGGACTTTGATCCTTACTTTTGGACTTTGTGATCCTTCCTAACATAAAACCCCCAACCTCCGAATCCCATAAAAATAGTCTATTTGAGAAGAGTTTGATTTAATGAAGAAAAAGTAGGGGTCTCCTGAGCTAATGTGAGTATCTGTCTTAGCTTACAGAGCCACAGGCATTTGATTAGCAAAGCTTAAAAATATCCCTGTGCAAATGGATCCAGCAATTCCAGGAGGGAAGTACAACTCGCTGGGTACTTGGTCTTAGATGCAGCTCTGTACTTTGCCCTCCTGACCACCAGTGTTGCAGGGAGAGGAATTATACGCCTGTATGACTGTTTGAAACCCAGGCAAAGCAGGGATCATAGTCATGCCATTCAAGAGGCATGCATCCTGTTTGGAGATACACTTGACAAAGCTCAGCAAGACGGGACTGAACAAAAATAATCCCTGCTGGAGAACAAGACTGTCTTTCCTTTGATGGCCAGCAGCCAGATTCATGAGGTCACTTCCAGTCAAACGCAATATGAACCAGGGCCGTGCCAGCAAAGTTATAAGGAATCTCATGCCACCAGTGAAGTGGATCTACTAAGCTGTGTTTGAGATGAGGTCTTACCTTTCATGCAAGAAATATGAGGTTGCTGTAAACCACTAAATCCTGTTGGTTAATGCAGTGGAGTACCATGGAGAATTCAGCCAGGCTCTGCCAAAACCCTGCTACGTTCCTCCTTACTGGTGCTCCGATGCCAGGAAGTGCAATGAAAATGTCTCAGCTTGCTGCCTGCTACCTGTGCAGGAAATTCCTGTTCCTCTTCTTCAGGAACTCCTGTGTCTGTCGTGCTTCCTGTCAGCCAGTCTAAATGTTTTGGTGTCATACAGGAATTTCAAGACGAGGTGCTGAGAAATGTCATTGCACTCAATAAGCCATAGATATTTCCTCAGATTTGTTGTTTTGACAGTTGTTGCTGGATATTGAATGCGAAAGGTAACACTTAGCATCATTAGTATGGGAACAGGTTATTTTCAGTATCTGTTTTCTTGAACTTCGTAGATTGTGATAGTTAGAAGTGAACTAAGTTGTTAGGCAAAATCTGGTGTAAGACTTACTTGGCTTGGATCCCGAAGTAACTATGTAAGTATGTACCTAGGCTTGTCTAGCTCATAGCCTTTCCATTTCCCCTTTTCAGGCGTGTTGCAAGACAAAGTTTTTGGAAAACCTGAGCTTGTACTTGCTTTATATTTTAGGCGTCTAAAAACTCAACCTTAAAATTGCTGAAATCCTTAGCAAGTCAGTGTGTTATCCTTGGGTTAGGCAGACAGTTTCTTTTCCTGTGGCCTCTGGAGGCCTCACAGGTGCTTCTCCCTGTTGATTGTACAGGGAACCTGAGCACTCCCTTCGACAGAGATGTGGTTCACTGGGCACCCAAATCCTCAGGAGGATGCATGTGACACAATACAGAAAGATGTGTTTCCAAGTTTTAGGACCCTGAAGACTGCAGTACAATGGTGTAGTAAGCTCTTGAATGCACAATAGATTAATAGTATAGCAGAAATTATCCTGAAGAAGAGACCTAAAGGTGATGAACTTTTTCTCTCTCTAGATTTCTTACAGAGAATCTAAACATGTGTAGGAGTCAATGTGGAATAAAAGCTGTACCAAAATAATGTCTTTGCTTTAATGGAGTTTAAACTCCACTTTCATATCTTCTCTTTAGGTAACATGGCGCTTGCCAGTGCTAGAATATGACAACCACTCATCAGAAAAGTTATAGCATACCTTTGAACAGCAGTTGTTAACAAGAAAGTGGAAAAGATTTGAGGAGTTGAGGAAGGTGAAATAAAATATATATTTAAATAAAATAGCTGAAAATTATTTCACTCTGAACTTCCAAGAAAGGAGTCTTGAATCTCATTTCTTTGCTGTCAGTTGTGCTGCTTAACACTAAAGTTGAAAAGATTCACGTTTCTTGTATTACCTGATAACTGGTGCAGCCACAGAATGCTGCTGGAATAGATATAATCCTGCATGGAGACTGTGATGATATATCATTATTTTTTCAGTTTCCTTGAAGGGCTCTGCAGATGAGATACTCTAAAATGTATATTAATTATAAAATCACTTGTATTACTTGTTTGGCTGAATCTTTTGTCTGTAATTGGCCTTTAATTACAGTTTACTGAGAATGAGATGAAAGAAATAATGATTATATTTTTCTCTTTCAAAGAATGCTCCAGCTATCACTGTTGCTATTCTCCTGCCAACCCACTTTCTCATCTGCTTTTCATCCGTTTGAGCTAATTCTGCAGCAAGCGCTGGCTGTATTCAAGAGCCTCCTATAACTTTATCAGTGTACCCAGTATGTCAAGGCAAATCTAGAAAGAAAGTGGAGTGTATTTTCTCCTTATATGCCATTTGACAGAAAAATGTATTTAGTTTTTTTTTTTTTTCAAGTATGCTCTCCAACTGTGTCTATAGATTAATGATATTTTATATCCTTCATGACCATTCTATGAGGCAAGCGCTTCTGGTTAAAATGGGAGAAGCATGAAATCTCTGTTAAAAGTTCTTCTTCTGTCTGTTTCTTTTTTAGAATTCCTATTGCTAAATCAAAGAGAAGTAGCTGGGACCTCTCTGTGCGTCTAGGAGATGGAATTCACCCAGTTGCAGTTTCAAAGGATGGCACATCATTTTCTGTAAGTTCTGCTGATTTTCTAAGAAATTCAATGTATTGAATCAATGTATATTATCCTTGACACCTACTACAATCCTCTATCTGTTCAGTGACCAGACATAGATGTGTTTTGTCTTTTGTAGGCATTGCTGTGAGTTGCAAAACAAGACTCTCTATATTGATAAGTGTACAAAGATTTTTCTCTGCTCATGCCTGTGGAACATTTTTGTATTTACTTGTTTAGTATTTGAATTAATGACCTTGTTTAGTGTCTTGTTTAGAAGTAAGGTCTTAGGCTCCACTGTAGATATGAGAGCAAGAAAATAAGGGCAGTTTTGACAAAAATTACATTAGCTTAAGTTAGTGTTGAAAAACAAACAAACAAAAACAAATTAAAGAACCAAGCAAGTTGAATACATAATCATACTGGAATGGAATTATTCAGCACCTCAGTGGTAAAACTGTATGTGGTCATAGTAAAGTGTTAGTGTTTCAAGATGTGGCTAGGTCACTTCAGATGAATGTGTATAAACTATTGTTTTTACAAATATTCTAAGGTATTTGCTAAAGTGCTTAATGGTGTTAGCATGAAAGGCAGAAAGACAGACTACGGCAACAGAAGAACGTTGTTGAGCAGAATAAAGCCAAGACGCTAGCTGGATGAATTGGAGCATTGAGAAGGTAGATTTATAGAGAGCAACTTCTTAAGTCTGTTAATGGTAATTCCACACCTAAACCTAGACTTTTTTTTTAAATAGACAGTTGAATTACATGTTATCTGCTGACTTTTAGGCAAAAGTTTTCAAAAGGGTCTAAAGAAGTGATTTTTTCTTAAACCATTGAAAAGCAGGACTACGAGAAGTCTCAAGAGTCCTCTAGTTTTCCTTGAACAGCTGTTTATTATTCCTGTGTGCCTTTATTGAAGAAACTTCTGCAACACCTGCTCCATGATATTTTTATAGTCATGATGTTCACACCTATGTTGCCTTCAGAATCATGAGACTCCTTTGAAAAAGACCATTTAAATTAACATTTTATCTAATGAAGATACTGTCTCAGTGGTTCACTTTTGCTTTGCTCTACTGAAATGTCAAGTAAAAGTCATTATTTTCAGTTGAAATTGGTCATGTTTTTAGGTAGTTATTTTCTCTTATGCAAATTGAAAGGAAAACCTAGGTGGGATCTTATTTAAAAAGAAATCTTTTTGCTGGCCTCACTGGGGGAAGAAGATGCCTAACCAGTATCTTTTTTTAATGCTGCCTTTACCTCCATCACACTGTATTTTATATATGCTCATGATAAATGTGAGAATATGAATAGAGAGCAGGGATCCTTTATATTCTATGTGGATCATAGGTACAGAAGGTCAGTTGTTGTGGCCAGCATCTTTAAAAATTTTCTCTTGCAGGTGTACTACTTTAAGTGTAAAAGAACGTTGGTCATTTTAGTTGTAGTGTTTCTTTTGGAGAGAATTCCAGGAGGTCTTGAACAACTGCCTACTCAGTACCTAATACACAGTGTTGCTGCATGACTGGGACACTCACCCCACACATGGAATGCTGCTTCAGGAGCAAAGGCCATGACTGTGTGCAGCTTTTTACTGAATTAAATTTATATAGTGTCCCTAACTGGCCATAGCTCAAAAACCAAAATATCTCTTAAGATTTCAGTCCCATTTAGAGTTGGGCTGGCACTGGTTAATGTGGCAGAGTAGTCACACAAACCAGTAGTCCTTGCCCCCAGCCTTTCCTCATTTTTGTTGCAACGCCTCTATCTAACAGCAGTCAGCCTGGAGCTGTGAGGAAGATACAGGGTGTCTGCTGGTCACTGTGGGTGTTGCGTAGGTCCTTTCTGCTCTCAGCCCAGAAGTCTAATTCCCATAACTAGACCTCTCCCGACTAAGAGTTTGATTTAGCACAACTAATTACACAGGCATGCATGCATGTACGCGTATTTTTGAGTGATGTACTTAAGTTTCATTTAGTTATCTAGGCTCTCACTTATACTTGCATAGTTAAATTCAATAAAGACATATCTTTAAATCAAACTGAGGGAAGTTTACAGACAGAAGGACTAAGCATCCTTTTCTACTCTTGTCTCTGTCGATTGTGAAGGTAACTGAGCATACAAACTCATATATGGGTCAGTTCTGGATTCCACTTGCAGTGGAGCAGCTGGGTTGTAAACTGCACTTATCTCCAGGAGGTATGAACTCCAAGAAAGGATGCTGAACGTGTAATGCTATTGCTGCTCATATATAATTTTAACATACAGAAAATCATTCCTGCCTATACCATAGTCCAAGCCCATGTCTCAGTTTAAACAGGACTGCTAAACAGTTCTGGTGTCATGCAGCAGTATGGGCATTACAGCTAGTGTAGTTTAACAAGACATATATGGAGTCTGATTTCTAGTCCTTCAGTTTTTTATTCAGACACTAACACCTCTAACATAAGCAAGTGGCTGGTCTGGCATTAATGGACTAGGCAAGGATGAGTAACTAAGCATGATCTTATTTTTCTTGTTTGTTTTTGTAGATTCCTTTGTCTTAGGGCCCTCTCTGCTACTTTCCCTCAGCAGGGAAAGCGCCGCGGGATAGCAGCAAGAATCCCATTGGGGTGGGGTGGAAAGCAATAGACCTGTGGAGGTTCCTTGCATCCCTGTAGGAAGCTACTGCTGTTCCCTCTTACTGTTAGGTAAGGAGAGAGGAGCACCCACCCCTGGGGAGCTGAGCATCCCCCAGCCTCACGGGTGAAGGGGTGAATAAGCAACAGGGAGGCAGTAGGTAGGACAGGCTGCGTACCCTAAAGGTTGAGCTAGAGGGATTGGAGACAGAAGCTTTTGGCATTTCATTCTACCCTAACCAAGCCTCTGTACCTGGGGAGAGATAATTCCTTATTTATTTGTAACTGGAAAATTCCTTGGCTGGTGAAATAAATCACAGTAGGCGGATTTCACTGTGACCAGAGGTCATTTAAATTAATCACAGTCATTTAAACCTTAAGGTATAGAGTATTAAAATTAACTCCTGAGCTTGGGTTTGTAAAAAAACAGGTAACTGCTTTTGAATATCAGGGTTATTTAGAGTTGCACTTATTTTTCATTGTTACTGAATAAATAGCAGAGGTCATGTTATTCTTTATTAATAATTTTCTTTTTACTGGGGTTCTTGTGTGATTGTGCCACAGATAAGAATATAGAAAATACAGCACAAACTAAGAACTTCTGAATTATTATTCAAAGCTTTACAATGGAAAAACAGTTGCCTTAAAACTTCGAAGAAGAGAAGTGAAAGGCTAGGAATGAGAAATCTTGTTTCTGATCAGGAGGTATAAACATACCCTCATAAAATATGGGGAAATTCAAAACCTTCTTTACTAAAACTTTCACTCAGAAACACAAGCCTCACTTTTTGAACTTCTGCATTTACTTTCTGCTATTAAGTCTGTGTCACATGGGCTCCTGACTTTGTGGAGTTGTGTCCCCTTGTGGCTTGTGGCAAAGATAGCTGAATGTGTGGTGCAATTGGGTAGCCCGGTGGGAGGGCCACCTTCACATTCCCCTTCAGAAGCTCACTCCTGCTCAAACCGTGCATTGCAGCAGCAGCGTTCGCATCCCGATTTACTTTGTTTACCACTGGGACTCTTCCAGCAGTGACTCCTTTCTTTTTTTTCCTTAACTCTTCTACTCTCACCAGCCGAAACCTCCGCACCTCACAGTGTGCAGTGCTTTGCTCTCTGCGCAGGGAGTGCGAGCAGCAGGCCTCTGCATGGTTCCCGCTGTTCGCCAGCATATCATTCGTCAGCATCTCAGCCTGTGGGTCAGCTGTGGCTTCCCTCCTTTACCATGAGAATCTTAATGAGTTGTGTGCTGTTAACTGCTCTTCGCTGCTCTTTATTTTTCAGGAGTTTGAGTTTGGTAACCATCTGTTTTTAACTGCTTTATTTGTAAGAGAGGTCCTTGATGCAAGCTGGCTTTAGGCTGCTTTAGAGGCCTTGCTTCCCCAAACTGAAGGACTTAAAAGAGAAATGGCCAAATATGAGCAATGCTGTTTGTCTGAAGCAGTGCAAACAAAAATAATTGTTTTCTTGTTTCCAGTAGAAGTTAAAAGGTTTTGTGAATCCTAGTTTGATATTTTTTCTTTTAAAATAGAAATAGCTCTGTTGTTGTTTGGAAGCCAGCAACATATATACTAATATAAATTTTATATACATAATAAATATAAATTGTGTTTGTATAAAATTAGTGTAGTAGAATTTTCAGTATTGTACAGTTGTTTCTGGTGATACCCTATTAATGTAACAACAAACGCTTTCACGATTAAAATATTCTAGAGACCTGACTTGACAAAATTTAGCAACTTCAGTGAGATTTGCTTGTCTACCAAGAACTTGCCAACTAAATTAATATAAATGTCATTTATTCTTTGTTCTTTGTCCTGTACGTTAATTGCTAGAAGACTCTTTAAGCTAACTGCTTGTCATATATATCCATTTAGTTCTTTGGAAGACAGATGTTCAGATTCTGGGCTGTGATTAGTGTTCTTATGCTTAAAATAGCTTTTCTCATAAATGGAGTTAAACACCTTACAGTTGAGATTACTGCTAAAATAGAATTTGAAGGAAGAATACCCTCCTTTACTGCAGACTAATATAAAACAGCAATGAACACCCCAGAAGCATCCTTCCACCAAACTTTGTAAACTTCTATTTAGTTCAATTTCAGACAGGAATCTTTTTCATCTTGCCCTTTTTGCTTGCCAGTCTGGCTATGAAATGTATTTATTTTGATTTCATTGATGCAAAGACTTGGTCCAGTTTTGCTGATGAAGGTTAGAGTCTGTCCTTACTTTACAAAATGTGAGTGTTCTGCAAAGCACCAAAGGGTGGGAGAGACAAAAGCGAATGGGCACCTACATATATTGGCCAAACCTGGTAGCTGTGTGGTTTCCCTGCACCAACCTAAATTCACCCTTCAGAGCCAGATGTTAGCCACCAAGGATTCTCTGGATCTATGCGACAGTGGCTTTGTTGCCTGTTTGGAGACTTCCACTCCTGCCTGCTCAAAGCCAGTGTGGAGTTCCTCTGCTAATGGTGTGCTGGTGAGGGTAGGACTTCAGCATCACAGCCAGCCATGAACACATTGTCTGCAATGGGAATGGATTTCATGTAGGTAATGCACTTAAAGCATATAATAAAAATAATAGCAAAGAATATAAGTGGCCTAAGCAAGGGAGAACATAAATACATTGGACCAAGTATCCAATAATAAAGTTCGATTTACTGAACTTAAAGTAAATTTTAAAAGAGATTTTAAAGTTCAATTTTCAAACACCACTTTATACTTTTCATTCAACAAAGGAATGAAAGGTAAATAATTACATAACTGCAGTGCTGTCCTCTCATTGCTGTAACCCACCCTCCTTACTTCCTTCAATATTCTTCAGGGGTTTTTTTTATTCCATTATTGATGTCACTTGAATTAGGCAACTAAGGATTGGTTTCTATTGATATCTTTGTGGTGGTGAAGGTGGTAGAAAGGGATGGATCATCTTGATTTTTTGCTACACCTCAGCTTTCACAAAAGCAGTGTAAAAATCCAAAAGCCCAAATGATGAATACCAATAGTAAGTATGTTAGAAGATACAGTTATGTTTCTCTTTGAAGTTTTTTTTTCTCTCTGCCTAGGTTGAGGATCCAATTTTAGTTCAAGAAAGAATTTGTAGCTGTATTTATGCAATAAAGTGCATTTTAAAAAACCTTTTTTGCATGATCCCTTTTCTGATTTCTTGTTACAGTATAGGAATCCTCTGTTTTAAGAATTCCTTACTGCTGATTTGTGTGATTTCTCTGCAAGTAATTGCTGTTATTCTCCTTTCTCATGTCTGAAAAGTTTCTGTTAGGGTTCTTCATCTCTGTAGTAGATGCATAGCTTCCCAGACCACTTAGCCTCATCTTCTCATCTGTTCAGTTGACAAAGAATTTCCAGATGTTTTCAGTTATAAAGTAGCTTCTTATCATTGAAGTTGTGGTGAATGAAAGTTGTTTATTTTTTTAAAAAAAGCACAAGGTGAAATAGTTCAGAAGTTACTTTGAGCAAATGGAAATTTGATATGTTTCCAGAGGGACCTGTGTAGGTCAAACACTGAATAAGAGGACTAGAGAAAGCTTAATTACTTTTTTCAGATTGCTACCACAATGGGCTACCGTTTTCACAAAATATTGGATAACTTCCTAAATTCAAATTTAAGAACAAGGAAATATAGTGCAGACATGAAATCTCTACATAAAATTTGTGAAGCTTGTTCTTCCCAATGAGAAGTTGATTAATGAATGTTTTAAATTTTAGGGAAAAGCAATGTGTTTTCTATATTTTTATCATAAGCAGTAAAGAATTTATTAGATATCTGTGTAGGTGGAAAGTTGGCTTGTGTACTTAGTATTTTCAAGAGAGTACCTATTGTATAGTACATAAATGAGATCATAAAATACAGATCTAAGGCATTGCCTCCTTCGTTATCTGAATACATCC